AATCCTCCCTAACTCTAAATTTTATGAAGCAAGCATAACCTTGATACCAAAACCAGGAAAAGACATCACTCAAAAGGAAAACTACAGACCAATATCCTTCATGAATATAGATGCAAAAATCCTCAATAAAATCTTTGGGATTTTCAATCATTTTGAAGAGTTTAAAAGGGGTCTTGAGACCAAAAGCTTTGAGAACCGGTGACGTAAGTTATTGTTAAGCAATAAAGTAATAGAGATCAACTGGGAAAGGCCCTAAATACTTTCTCCTCTTTTTTCAGTAACTCTCCAAAACATTCCTAGCCTTCCCATCAATGCAGAGCTTACCAACAAACAGACTGTGTCTGTGAAAAGGCGAAGGGCTAGAGAAGAGGAATATAATAATAAGATGGAGTTTCAGTGGAAAGGGGGGAATCAGAATTTTAAGAGCAGTTCTGAGACTCTTATGTTGCAATTGGACAGAACCCCTTAGGAAAAAGACAGGACTACCAGAAAAATTGGGGCACATCCGAAGAATACGGACAAGTGGTGAGTGATCCGCACGAGGGAACTAAGAGGCAATTTGGGGGAAAGTTGTCAAAATCTCGAGTGTTCCTGGAATTCCCATGCTTCATAACTAATACGTCAGATCTAGAGAGGATTGTTCAGAGGAAAGGCAAGGCTGTCGCTAAGCCCCATCCGCGCCCCGAATTCCTGCAGCACAATCACCTTCACCCCCAGCGCCCTCGACACACAAAACTCATCGATCTCCAATCCCTCACGATCCCAGAGGTTCTCACCACCAAAAGGTTCCTGTCTTCAACCAGCTGCCGCTTCCGAAGGATCTCCGATTTGAGAATGTCCATCTCGCTACCCGGGTTTATACTCGATGTTCCTTCTTTTACTGCTGGGAAACAAGCAAGCCTCACCCACACAACAGCCGAGAACCCACTACCGTAGGACAACAACTGACAGAAACTGCTTCCGGCGGAAGTTGAGATAGAGAGAGACAGGAAGAGAGCGTTCCAGGGCGCTTGTTGTTGACAAAGCCGCTGCGTGCCCCCTAGCAGCGCCCTCCCGCAGTGCGCCTGTAATTTTCACCGGTATTGGTATCAGTGAATTTCGACAGAAAACCCTAGTCTCCTGAGTCGTGATGGGTCGACATATTATATTTTTTAAGATAAATTATTGTACCTGCTTGACTTTGCGCAAGTACAAAAGCCTCCTTGTAGCCTCTTTGATTATGTTCAGTAAGGCAAATCCTTACTATATTACTATATTCATGTCAGGGTCCCTAAAGTCACTTGTTTGCGAAAATTAATTACGTAATAGAGAGTGAGAAAAAGTTGAATAATAGTACTGGTTCATAAGTACAGAGCAAAAAAAGAGTAGTGTTCATTGCAAGCCTGTTAAGATTTCCTATAAAATTAAATAACCACATCCATTTAAGCCGTTTCAGAAGTAAATGTGTTCGTACCCCCTCAGTTCTAGGTTCCTTACATGTCTTGAAGATAACTGGACATTTACCACAAGTTAACTGAGATAATCTTATTGGTCAAGTGCTCAGCAATCAAGATTTTTAATGAAATGATTGGCAAAGATGTAATTAGAAATTCTTTTCTTTCTTTTTTGAACCCAAACCAAGAAGAGAGAAATTACATCAGAATTTTTTTTTTTTTAAAAAAAGAAAGAAAACTCCAAAAAGTATTTAAAACACGCTTACTTTGTTTCTATGCCATCAGAGATCTTTTTTTTATTTCTATCTAGTTAAATCATAATTGAACAATATTTGACATATTTTTTTTCCCAAAGAGGATAAAATATAATTCACTTCAGTCAATTGATAATTAGCTAGGTTTATCAAAATAAAAGATGATCAAGAATTATTCATTTAAATTTAGGAAGCTTGGTTTTGTATGAACGTGTGTGTGAGTGTGTGTGTGTGTGTTGTATGTCATCTAAAAGATATGAGTTTTGCCAGAAGTAAATCAACATAGGAAGTTAATTCACTGACATAAGATGCTCCACTAATTTTTAGGGCTTTAAAAACTTAAGATACTTTATAAAGTAAAGGATCTTGAACTAAAGATGATAAAGAGTCTTGCATGGATATCTATTATAATTCACTAAACAATAATTTTTTAAATATTTTCCCCAAGTTAGAGACTAGAGATTGTGACACAAAAATTTAAAGGTTGACAGAGATGAGAGTTAAGTAATGAAAGTTTACAGAGAACATGACAGAATAGCTGGCCAGACAGAAAAAGATCAAGGTAAACCAAAGAAGGCCACTAGCTACCATCAACAGCCTCCTTTTAAAATTTTGACATTCATTGATTTTGATGTTTATGTAAACATGTGCATTAAACCCTTCACTCTATAAGGCCTGATTTCAAAGAGTGACAGATATGAATGACTGAGCAAGCAAACTGATGAGCAAGTTTTTCAATATAGAAGGGAAAAAAAGATGACCAAGAGAGTTTAGAAATACTCAAAAGAACCAATCAATCCTGACTCTAAAAGAAAATATATTCATTTAAAAATATATATATGCATCTCATTTCTTCACAATACTTATTTAAAAAGTGAAATATTAGAAAGAACCCAATGTTCTAAATGAGAGAATGGTTAAGTAAGTTAGGGTTCATACACTCAATCAAGCAACATAGACCCATGTTATTCATGGACCATGCTTCAAAAAAATATTCATTGATATAGGGATGCTCATGATACAATGTTTACTAAAAAAAGTAGAATAATGAAACTACAACTATAGGTCCCTGGGCCGAGCAAATGGTCTGCACTTGAACTTTAACCTAAAGGTTGATGTTCTGAACCTACTCAACAGCACTGTAGAAGAAAGGTGTGACAATCTACTTTCATAACAATTGTTGTTGTTGTTATGTGCCGTCGAGTCAGCCCTGACTCATAGCGACCCTTCCTTTGGTTTCCGAGATGGTATCACTACGGAAGTAGGATTGCCCAACCTTCCTTCCGAGGAGTGGCTGGTGGGTTTGAACCGCCAGCCTTCTGGTTAGCAGTCAAG